ATGCTTCAGTTAGAAGGTTCTCCTCCTGCTCGGATCATCAAAATGTTTACATTTGTTAGTTTGGAGAGACGAGCGATTGAAAGAAGAAGTGTGGCTCTATGAATTGTGGGTAAGATTATGGCTGTTAATATGGGCTCAGCAGCAGCTGAAGGATGAACTCTATCACTCCTCCTACTGTAAGTGCCAACACACTCAGTGTAACCTGTGACTGAAGCTGACGAGGAAGCACAAAACACTGTCCTGGTCAACTTTGAATGGTGAAAACATGAAGAAGCATTTAGAGCCGCATGAACCTCCATGAAAACACTGTCAGAGTTTAAATAGTGCAACAGTTAGAGGAGAGAAACGTCACAAAAAGAAGCTGAGTGAAGTCTGGAGGAAGATGTTGAACTGGTTACTGATGACTACAGGATACATTTCATGAACACAGTCCAGTGTATTTTCACGCTACTCATCTGAAATGTCACAGATAATAAAGTAACACTAAATGTTTAACAGCTGAGCTCCACTCATGCTGTGACCTCTGACCTCACCTTCCTGTTGACGAGCAGCCAGCTGGGTTTGTGCAGGGCTCTGAAGCCAACCGACGCCAGCTGAGAGTTGGAGTGAAGGAGGCCTCTCGTGGCCACTGACGACCCATAATCCCCCAAAACGCTGCGATTCTGGAAACAGCACAGACAGCCCTTCATACAGGAGACACAGACACAGCAACACACACAGCAGTACAGGTCGCTGACAGCTCTGCTGTAGCGGCAGAACAGTTTCCACTCTTGGACCTGAGAGCAGGTGTAATCCGTCGCACTGAGGGTCAGGGCAGATTGTGACCTCGCCTGTTGGTTGTGTGCTTTTCACCATCATCCTCTTGGTGTTTTAAAACAACATGTGAGAACCAAAGGAGGGACGTGAGGTGTTTGCTCCTCGCCATGTTCATCTTCCTGCAGTAAATTACTTCTAACTTTGTGTTGTATGTAACACAGTTTAACCAGCTGAGGCTTCTTCACAGCCTTCATCTTTCTGCAGTCAGAGTCGCACTCCTTCAGGTTGTGTGGTTGTCGTCATAGCAACGTGTCCAAGCATCCTGCAGTGGAATTAATATGGAAGACGAGCGCTACCAACAAGGTGAACGTTGAATCACACCTGCTGCTCAGTCTGTGGGTTTCGTCGCACTCGGGGGGAAATTAAAACTCGGGCAGTTCTCATGACTCGTCAACTGATGTTCATGACCTGGGGACCCTGTGACCCCCCATTGAAGAGCCGTAGACTGTGGATCTCTTAAGACCTCACTGTTGGGTTTGTAAGGCCATGTTACTCCTACATTTCTCTCTTGTTCAAAGAGAAGATAGAAAACAAAGCTAATCGACCTTAGTGTTCTCCTTTTTTGAACAGGATCGAAAATGGAATCGTGAAAATCTTATCGATACTCATCCCTGCTCATAACAATGGCGGCGAGCGCTACTGGGCGAGGGAACATAAACAGCAGAACACAGCTGTAAACTCTCTGATCAAGTGTCCACGATCAAACCGTCACTCAGTGAGTGTGCACACGCCACCTCCACCCAGCGTCCTGACAGTGAGAGGAGATGCCGCAGGAACAACAGCCGAGGCAGGAAGTAAGCCTCTCTGTAAAAATAAAGACAGCTCGTTCTCCAAAGTTTGGACTTGAGCTAGAAGAATGCTGGGAAGTGGCGTCTGTTCATCAGCAGCTCTTCCCTGTTCTTCAGGCGGCTTTTCCGATCACGTAGCCGAGACAATCGCCATCCCAGTCTGCTGGTGTCCCAGACTGAATGCTGTGTCAGAGTCTCTCTGTCGCAGGTGATCTGTGCATCACGTTTCCAAAAGATTTTAAAAAGTAGTGTTAAAAATGAGGAGGACGCCAACTAACGGCCAGCATCCTCACATGTTATTCATTCATTTAGTTCCTTTGAAGTGAGTCTGAACATCAGCACAGAGATGAGCACATCATCTGATCTCTGTACTGGCCGGGACTCCGAGGATCACTGAGCTCTGCATCGGGCTGCTGGTTCCTCACATTGATATGAAATAACAACCACAGAAATGAGGACGATGTTAGGACTGACCGTCCAATCAGCAGTGAGAAGGTCAGCATCAGACAGATACTCGCTGGCTCTTTCCACATCCTCCAGCTCACAGAAGAAGTCCAAGTAGTTCTGGTGAAGGTAGAGGCTGAAGAACTCTCCGGACATGTGAGAACGCTCAACAACCAGCTGACA